AGCCGGCGGATGGTCAACCAGAATACCTTGTTTGCGGTGTGGAAATTCGCCTCACTGAATTTCTCCCTGGAATCAGCTTTGGCTTTCGCTACTGTTTTCGCTGCCGCCATGCACGTTTCTTCGCATCATATATGATATAAAGATTCTTTGCTTCCAAGCCATCTCTTGAATGGGGTTTTCTAGTGTGTGACAGCCAATTTCCATCAGGAAGTGGTAGTAATCGAGGAAGTGGTTTTCGACCTCCAGGTAGTAATCCAACCAATTCGATGGCTGCCCCGAGTAAACCACTTTTAAGCAGCTTCAATGGAGTTTGCACTTCTGTGATCATCACCGTCATGCGGTAATGTTTCCCATTTGGTTCTCTGATTGCCTCCGCTGCCAGATCTTCGTGTGGTACTCCGTTTCCTACAGCGCAGCGTGCCAACAACAAGGTGATGATCGTTTGATGGCTCTGCGCTTCCCTTAAAGCGAACGTCCATTTCTGAGCGTCTTAAGTCAGACGATACGATTATGAAATCGATTTTCGACTTCGTTATACCAGGTATACTGGTACACACGAGGTACTGATGCGCACGCTTCGATACTCGAATAATGTGTTCATAAATGGTAATCCCTTGCTTGCACAAAACCGCAGCAACTGCATACCGTTATTGTTGAGGTCGCTAGGGGCGTTTTCTCCAATCACGGCATTCTAGTTTTCAGTGTCTACTCCGAATGCGCTTTATAATCACCCATGAGTAAGAGGGAGACCACAGTCGGAACTACGTACAGAGCATACTCCGGTTCCTCAAAAAAGAACTCAAATTTTCGCTCTAAATTTGGGGCATAGATCTGAAACAAGGTCAGCGTTTTAGCCTGTTTTCTATTCAATCGGAGGATTGCCACTCTTCCGCTGACAAGCTTCCATTCACTGTGTCTATCAGCCAGGTTGGGTTCTACCAGAACATCAACACCGGTCTGAGCGCGCCTGAGTAGAGCAGCTTCCACCCGAAAAAATTCAGGATTCCAGAGCCTTGGCTCTTCGTTGACGAGGGTCCAACTATGTCGAATTGGTAACTTACGGCCTTATCAACTAGCTCCTGCTCTTTCTCTTTGAGTGAGGAATATTCTAATTTCTGACTGTAAGGTGTCGTTCCGGTGGAGCCTCTTTCTTTTTATAATTGCATCGCACTGTCTGCCTGCTACGTTCAGAACGGGAAGCGGATCCGTTGCTGATTGGTGTCTTCGTCTTCGGCAGCCGGTGTTTTCAGAAGGCGGTGAGCAGGTTCTGATCACCGACTTTTCACGGCCTGTCTGTCACTTAGCAGCCTATGTGGCCCTTTGTAACCGGGGCCACGATGGAGCCCA